AAATTAACCATTACTGGTCTATAGTTAACACTAACCTGAACCAGAACTTAACTCACACTAAGGGTGGGAATCTTTTACACTTTCACAATTCAATTCGAATCAATTTGGATTTTTGGGACCACGATTAGATTCAAAATCGATTTTTCATTCAAAACTGATAATGTGAGCCCATTTGTCATGTTCCCAAAGTGCTTCAGTTTCATTTTGCAAACCTCGAACACCTGGCTCAGGTCAAACTCAGACTCTTTCAGTAAAAACCAAAATGAGCCCAAATGTTAACATTCAGTAAGGACAGGGCCGGTTGAATCTCTCTTTCCTCCAGTTCTGTAGTTCCCTCTTTGTTTTGGTGCTTTCTGCACATTCACTTGTTCCAGAAGCAGCTGCATGATGACGTCAGGACGTCCCATGTAGTTACAAAATGGAGGCTGACAGCCACTGGATTTGCTTTATTTTTATTTATAAAAATAGATTGTGGGACATTTTAAATCGATTCTGAATTTTTGTAAATGAGAATCACGATTCTGGTGTAAAACTATTTTTTGGTGCACCCCTAGTAGACAAACAGGTTGGTCACATGCAGAAGAGGACCATCAGCCAAACTATAAGTCGTTAGTGTCTTGATTGGCTCAATTGTTCATAGAGGGTCATGTGCCCCATCACCTGACTATCATTGGGCCCTGATTCACACCTTTTGCTCACAGGGGGCGGAGTCATACTTACAATAACAGCGTTGTAGGAGGAGGACAACTGAAAACAGAGGCCTCCACCTCTGTTTAATGGTGGACGGTCTTTCTTCACAAAGATGGCTTCTTTTACTCCTCTCTCAAACCAACGTTCCTCTCTATCAAGGATGAGAACATCCTCATCCCTGAAAGAGTGACCGCTGGTCTGTTAGTGAAACAGTGAGCAGCTCCATTCTCTGGGGGAACTGGGAGCAGGTCCTTCAGACACCTGATTAGATGTTTCCTGGATGCCTCTCTCTGAAGGTTTTGTGGCTCTGGGATGAGACCCCAGGGTAGACCCCCAGACTCTCTGCAGACATCATGTATCTTCTCTGTCCTGGTGAGACTCTGGCAGCTCCTGGAAGGAGCTGAAGATTCTGCTGAACTTCTGAAAGAAGCAGGTCTGGGGTTTACAGATACTGTATCTTGTTGACRACAAACTGAACCTACACCACAACACAAACTGGGCTCTGACTTATCCTTAGTCCTGGACCTGGACCAGGATCTGAACCATGACTCAGAAATAAGAGATCCTACCATCTGAACCACGGTCCAAAAGAAAATGTGCTGAAGCCCAGAGAGATGTGTGAGGGTTGTTAACATTCAGCTGATGATGCTCCGCCGCCGACCAGTGAACAACAAGAGTCTGTGTGTGTGTGTGTGTGTGTGTGTTTGTGTGTGTGTGTGTGTGTGTGTGTGTGTGTGTTCTGATGT